ATTAATATTTAACGGTCTCTTGGACCAATAGTAAAAGACCTTATCGAAATACAATTTGACAGAAGCTGTCAAAGCTCTCTGAATATCAGTGATTTCTATTGAAATGTTGAATAAAGTCGTGAAAAAACGGTTGCCTTATAAATAAGGGTACATTATAGATGTAATATTATGTCTTTGTGCTCTAGAATTAGGATAACTTTCATAGAATTTCAAATTTTTATCATTTCAGAAACGACGGTCCATTATTTAAGTGGGACCAATGGGAATGCGGCAAATAATAGGCCAATTTTCGATCTATTATATTTGGTAGGATGTTTTCACTGTTTTTGACGACTGTTCATGCATGGCAATCTAGTTTTCTCTGTATATCGCGTACAGGGTGTTGTACATGATACGTACCTGTAGAAATGTACCGATTTTTGTTATTTTGCAAAAAAATGATATAAAACGTATGCTAACTGGTTCATCATCTTTTGTTACATCAAAAACAATTTTTGCCAATTTATGATCTAGAAATCCACACCAAATGGAAACAAACAGCACATTCTGCATTTCTGGGCCCTAAAACATCGATATTTGTAAAAGTATCCGCATCCACCTAGTATTCATCGTCTAGATATTACAAGTCGGAATCAAAAATACCTATTTATGAAAATATATCTCCAAACATTGTTATATTTTCTTATTATTTCTATCATTAAAACACGTCTGGGATACCAATTGCTTTTAAAGTGATCTGCTGTGTTGCCGAACCGCAAAAAAACGGGATCGGTAAATAGTGTCGTTGAGTTCGGTATAAGGTAAGTGCCGTCCCAAGATCAGTGGTAGATCATGGACCTTTGAGTCATGAAAAACGTCTGTTATTGTATTGGGCGCGCACGCAACATGTTTTTTGAGGGCGTAGTTCTGTATTACAACTTCTACAATTTGCATACTGGTCGCTCTTTCAAAGTACTTTGCAAACCATTCTGGAAACTCCTTTTTCGATTCTTGCTTATGGGATTGTGAATATTTTTCTGTTTTACCCCTGAACTCACCTCTCATTTTAATTTAATATTTATTTTGACAACAGACAGGCTTCGGTTTTGCTATTGCTTGTCCGGTGATGAGGTAATGACGGCAATCTACCAGTCTGTACCTTTTGTATGCACAAAAATCAATTCAGGGCAAGCGGAGTAAGGGATAAGGATGTGCGTCCGTAATCATAGGCAACCCAAATCTGCGCCTCTCATGTGCCCGACTACCTGAGCGTGTATGCATATGTATGACTAATATGGTGCATAAGACTATGAATACTCCATAAAATCAACTTTTAGCTTTATTTTTGGTTTCAGCTCTTTTTCGGCAAGTACAAAAATATTTAAATTATTTTGAAAAACAGTGGAGAATGATGTCATCGGTAAATATTCTCTTTTCGGTAAAAATCCGAAAAATCCCGTTCAAGTCCATGCATAGACAATCTGAAATTTTCAATATGGATTTATAATCTAAATTCTATGCATTCGTCAATATTTCATTTGAAGCTTTTATTTGTCATAAGATTTTAGGAAAATGTAAGATAGTAAAGGCAACACCGCACCCTGCAGCCCAGTTGACAAGAACGACAAGCTGTCAAGATTAGGGATATTTAGATCCACGAAAAGTATCATTATGCATCGATTCTTATCGTTTTAGGAAGTATCGATACTCTAAAATATTGGAATAAAATATCCAGCGGAAGGAAACAAAGAGGAAAAGTAATCTCAAGTTAGTCACTTTTTCTGACACAGTCCGGATCTAGAGATGACGATACTCGAGAAATGTATCGATATACCCAGGTGTCGTATATAAAAATATCGATTCAAAATGTCGGGTATGGGAAGCAAAAGTATCGATACTTCTAAATATAGGATCATATTGAACATCCCTACTGTCAAGACGTGTAACAGGATGTACCGACGCAGCTATTTTCGGCGTCATGGAAATAATTTATATTTTCATTTGCATTTTTTCAAGCGTTGTGCAACCATTTTGGGAAAAATTCCACGAATAGTCAGAATTAATGCACAATCTGGCAACCATGTCGCACCCTCAAAAAAATGGCCGCTGACAACAACACATTGAATAGCATGGAATTGAACCTTCTTCAGTGTATATGTTTTGTGACTAGGACCAAGGGTTGACTGATCCCACACATGTGTCACTCGTTGGGGAGTTTTGAAATGTAATAATCAGCTGTTATTTAAATAATGTCTAATTATACAACCTAGAATGTGTACTCGTGAAGAAAGAAAAATATTGAAAATTTCTGTTTTTTTTTGCAGGTTTTAGGTTTGCTGGTAGCTTTACGACATATATTTGGGTATTCCTTAATCGCTGTAAATGCAGTGTGGATGTTTATTCAGTTCCTGAACCACGAAAAATATTCAACTTTATGCATGTATGGCTATCAAAAAACCTGAATTGTTTTGTGGGAATATCAATCTAAGGTGCCATAATGGTTCTGATGAACGGCAAGTAAATGAATGAATGTTTGGAAACGAGCAATATCTAAGAAATTTTTGGTAGAGTCTGTCATCAAGCAGCTGTTTAATGGCTATGTGCAAAAGGTTTTTAGGAAAAAAACACGGGAGGTGATGCTAAGTCAGTAAAATCGCATATCAATTGAAGAAAATAATATAAACATGAATAAAAAATCAGCAATAGTAATTAAAACATGAATTTTACTCAAAAATGGAACATTTCTTTAAATTTAGGTTGAATTATACGTTATTTCTTAATATTCAATAAGCTAGTGATGTTTAAAGAACAAGCTGTCCTCTCATACTTTGACAATATTTTGTTTTCAACATTTCATAGGTATTGGTTGCTGAAATTTGTTGATTGGATGTTGAAGCTCATTCGCTGTGTTTGACGGACTGTTACCCTATAGGTGGAGAATAATGGACTGTTAATTTGACAACCTTGATGAAATCCACCATTAGCTTACATAATAGGTCTGCAGCTCTACATGCCCATCTCGCAACACCATACCATCCACTTTTAATGAATTGTGATCTTGAGCTTTTATTCATATAATGAATTATTCATCATCATTAAATCATATTAATGATTTACCTTATTCTGTTCAATCCTTGTTGCTAGGCACTGCAATGTAGTTGCTATCATTAATGTTATTTATATAGTGAGTTCGCACAACTTCTGTGATGTTTTGGCCGAAACCGGTGCGACCCACCCTTGTTGGTTTTTACAAAATGTATTTCGACACTAGAAGTCTGGACACGAGCAATTGACTATTCATATAGTAAGAAATTACATACCCTTCAATTGAGGCCACAATATTTGGATGAATTTTAGTGAGCGTCACATCCTTTGCAGAGATTTTAATAACCTATGGATTTTTGTCAGGACCCGGTTCTATTGTCATACGTCCTTCATTCGTCTCTAATATGTTTCCCTTGTATTCTTTAAAGCAAATGACTTTTGACCTGTTTTAGCAATATATGAGCAACAAGGCTAGCGCCGTATAATGATGAAACTTATAATTAAACTGACTTTTATTAATTAGATTTTCTGTTTGAGTTACCAGATTATGTGGCCTTTGCCTGAAGCTGCTGGATACAAAGCCTTTCATAGCGTAGTGGTAACTCTGACAACATATTTGCGCTCATCTTCTAGATGCTTATGATAACTTTCACATATTTAAAGTATTATTTGGAGATGAATGTGCAGCTCGACGCTCAACTTTGGAACGGTATAAGGTTGAACTAGCGTAGGGCTCTTACTCAGGCATTCTGAAAAACCGTTTTTTTTTTCGAATTTGAAATATCTGGCCAGTTAATAAATCCGCGATTTCCGTCATATTGACGTTTCTATGTGCTATCTTTTTTTTCACTAGAAACTAATGAGGGGAAATCTGGAAAGGCAGAAGAAAACAGATGACCTTTTGACCAAATCTTCTTTTTTCAGCCTACCTTTAACAGATTGGCCTCCAATCATACTAGCTCCGTACGTAACTGCTGGTGAAAAATATGGTGACACTTTAATCGGTTCTTACTTCCTATGCCACTGGTGTGTACTAGACGGCTGCCGCTTCTCGACTGTCGTGAACGAGGATGTAGCCTGTGAATCGTCATTCACGCGATACGTATCAAACATTCAGATGAGCACACATTCAATACAAGATTTAGGAATAATTACCATCCTAATCACTTAAGACGTAAGAAGTCAAAAAATGGATTAAACTGTCGTTGTATATACAGTAATGGACAAAACTATATAGACAAATATGAATATTTACCTAAATACCTTTAGAAAACGAAATCATACTTCACTGCTCCACAAACAAACGTGTTATTAGTAGAAAAACTAAATTCCTTGTTTTTACGTTACCTGCAATGAACACAATACAAGTCTGAATATAAGCATTTTTTTATGAGGGAAAAAAATATGTAGATCAATCCTTTTCAAGATAAGTTTAGTACAGTTTCGTCTCAGAAGAGAATTGGTTTGTGTTCAAGTATTGTGGAATAAGTTGAGTGATTTTAAGACCATGCCGCGTGGCTCAGAAATTTCGATGTGAAAACTAAGATCATTGAGTTATACAAAGATGGTCAACGTCAAGTCGACATTGCCAAAAATTTGAAGCTGAAGCGTAACGCAGTTTGGGCAATATGGAACAAATATAAAAAAAAGGTATCTTGGAAGCCTCTAAGAGAAGTGCTCGACCTAGAACACTAAATGCTAGATCAGTTAGATTAATAAAAGTAATTTCGACCAAAGATCCGTTTAAAACCCCAAGAAAAATAAAAGCCGAAATCGAGACAAAAGGAATTTCAGGGTCTGTGCCGTCGGCTTGACCCTGGTGAGATTACGTCCCCATTCCCTACCCTAATGTATGCCCCTGTGCCCCTCCCTCTACTCCTATTCTACGTCGGCTAGCCCTTCTGCGCAGTCGCGGCCCAGCGTTTGCCTTCCGTTGTAACGCCACGAATGCCGCGATGCAGGAGGATCCACAGTACGCTTTATTCCGCGCTAGTGTATGCTCCTATTCTGTACATATTCTTCGCGAGAGTGAATACAGTGCATTATGGTATGATGGTAAGTCCCCTTTGTTTTGATTTCATTCCCTCTACTCGAAATCATTAATGCCTAAACGGCATGTGAAGTTGTTTTGTTATTTACCTAGCAGACCGACATGTTGTTTGAGTTCATTACTTCAGACATCCTTTATGATTCAGAAACATCAATTTTATTGTTGTGAAGTGACTTGCACCCCCGGTCAATCACTTACATTACCGAGGGTAGTTCGCACCAAGCAGCTATGTACCTCCTTCTTGCTATATCAGCAGTTTCGGCTCGTTATACGTAACCGTCGGCCTCGACTTTCGAGCCGTCGGCTCAACTAGCTTGAATCGGTCGTCGGCTGGATTCGTGGACCCGACGACTGGAATTACGGAGACGTCGGCCCGATTCTGAGCGGTCGGGTCACTTAACAGGCCGTCGGATTGTTTCGTCGAGCCGTCGGCTCATTTTTGGGCCGACTGATCAAGTTATTAGCTATCACTATGACTCTGGGCCAGTTAGCGGATCCGTCGCCAGAAGATCATGGAGACTCGCGGATCCTCAACCGCATTAAACTACTGGCATCGCAACACCTTCCGGATGGTTGGAAGAACTGGAAGGTGGCCATTACAGAAAGAACATCTCTATTTGAGGATCCAATGGATCCTCAGCTGATCAATAAGTTGAGATTTGCCCTTCCAACGGTCGGACTAGCACAAGCATTTATCCCGGATTGTAAGAACTCAGAATACCTTGGCTGTAGAGATTCTAACGGGTTGCTGTTTCTTGTCTGCAGGCAGCTCCAGGACCGTCCATGAAGGTCCGGATGCTGAATTGGCCTTTTTGTGTCGGTCTGGTTATTGGTCCTCCAGCCTTGGCGTGTCGAATAAGGGGATCTGCAGTTCATCACGAGCTAGTAATGAGCTCTCTGGACTCACTTCGGCCATTGTTCATCTCAAGAAAAGAAGCGGCTCCGAGATTGGCAGCAGATTCTTCGGAGGGCGAGAGTTCATCAACGGGTGCTTCTGATCCGAGGCCAAGAAAGATGAGTCGAATGGATAAATTGGAAAGGAGCCAGGAGGAACTAAAGATATTAGTTCAGAATGTTTTGGAGAAGATCGAACAACGTTCCGACCAAGGCACGTCTATCCAAGATGTTAGGTATTCAGATGAGGAATCGGATTTGGATGATCAAGAAAATATTGCTCCATCTTTAGACCTAGGCTTCAGTGCACCAAACGAGACGGATATACTAGAAAGTCCCATAGATCACTTGGACTTCAGTTTTGTTCCGGTAACCAAGGAGCAAGAGCCTCTAGTCCCTAAAGCGGACGCACATATTGAAGCCCAGGGGGTGAACTGCTTGCGGCTAGGGCAGGCTTCTTTCATTAAAATCCGTTATGTTGATGCACAGAAGAAACTGCAGGCCTCGCCTGTTTTTAGCGCCTTAAAAGTCAACCCGCAACTTTCCAGAAATAAAGGAACGCCTGATATGTTAGCATCTATGGATGCTACTTTAGGCACTATTTTGCATGGCTTACTTTTACAACGAGAAGCCTTTTCGCATTCAGTAAAGGCCTTAGCGGCAAAGTATCCGGAACTGGGGAAGGATATCCGGGAGGAGTTATGGGATCCTGATGGCGACTTTAAGGTCACATCAGATGCTTTGGTGCAATATGTGTGCGGTAAGCGCGCAGAAGTAATTGAAAAGAGAAGAAAGGCACTGCGGCCGCTCAATACACATGTAGGGGCGCTTATGGATGCAATTCCGCCCTCGAAGACTCATCTGTTCGAGGAAGAAGCATTTACCGACCTGATAAAACAATTTGGGCAGTTTTTTCGGGCCTCGAGGCCAAGATTTGAATCTCAAAACAGAGATACAAGCTCCTTTCGTTCGCATTTGGCCACGCGAAAGATGCCACAGTCTACAATGGCAGGATCAAGCCAGCCGAGGTCATACACGAAAGATGCTGAGAAGAACCGATATAAGAAAGGAACCAGAAAACGCAGTTATTCCGTTTCAGCAGGATCATCGAACCCACACTCCACCCCCGTTCGTTGCAAGAAGCGCTGACAAAGATCAGTTCAGAGCAGGTCGCTTAAAGTATTATGCAAACCAGTGGCAAAAGGAAGGGGCGCCCAATTCTATTCTTCAAATAATCAGAGGTTATTCAATCCCTTTCATCCGAAAACCTCCATTATTCCACTTCTCAACCAGACACAGTTTTTCAACACCTCGTATGGAATCAGAGGTAGCGCAAATGCTAGAATGGGGTGTACTGGAAAGATCCCACTACTCGACGGGCTTCACTTCAAAGATGTTCACAGTTCCAAAAGCAGATGGTACCAAGCGACCAATTTTCAACTTAAAAGCTCTGAACGAATTTCTGCATCCAAACAAGTTTCACCTAATCAACCATTTAAAAGTCCCAGCCTTCCTACAAAAAGGGGACTTCATGGTCAAAATCGACATTGCGCAAGCATATTTCCACATCCCAATAAAGGAAAGATATCGAAGATTCCTCTCAGTGTTGCATCAGGGAATGCTATATCAAATGACCTGCCTGCCTTTTGGTCTGTCGAGCGCCCCTTCAACTTTTGCCAAGGTGTCAAATTGGCTAGCGAGCAGGTTGCGAGTCAGAGGGATACGTGTAATCGTATATCTGGACGATTTTCTGTTGGCGCATCAGTGCCCACTCATCCTGAAAAAACAGGTTTCAGAAGTAATGTTTTTTTCTAGAGGCATTGGGATGGATTATAAACAGAGAGAAATGTATGTTGGAACCATGTACAACAGTGGAGTATCTAGGCATAAGGTGGGACACGGTAGGAAACACAATATCCCTTCCAAAGAAGAAACAAAAATGTATTCAGAAGACTTTGACTTGGGTTCAAACTCATCAACGATGGAACTGGCGCCAAGCTACAAGTCTCATCGGAAGGTTGAACTTCGCCAGCTTCGCGATCCCCTTAGGCAGGCTTCACGTTCGGGGGATGCAGAGAGCGTGCCTTCTCCTATCCGAATCAACGCCGAGGAAATATCTTCGAGCTCCCCCAGCTGTGTTATCAGCTTGTCAATGGTGGATCCAAAACCTTCACAAGGTGTCGCCAATTTTCCACCAAAACGCAACGATTTTCCTAACAACGGATGCATCGGACATAGGTTGGGGAGCAGTCTTAGAAAACGAAGCCTTGAAGGGATCCTGGTCCCACTATCAGAAGAATTGGCATATAAATGTCAGGGAAATGTTCGCTGTGTATGCTGCCATTCGACAGCGGAGTGGTCGACTGATTGGGAAGTCGATTCTTCTACAGTCAGACAACAAAACTGTGATAGCATACATAAGGAAGCAAGGCGGTACAAAGTCAAAGATGTTACTGGATGTTACCGTAAAGCTGCTGACCCTTTGCAGTCGTCTGGATATCACTCTGACAGCTCACTTTATCCCAGGCATATGCAACGACGTAGCAGACAGCCTGTCTCGCAACAAGGCCCCTCCCGATTGGCATCTGTCTATCGAGTTGACCAATCAGATTTTCCACCGTTTCGGAACCCCGGAAATCGACCTCTTTGCTTCAAAACAGTCGAAGGTGGTACCAGCTTATGCGTCGATGGACGTACGGGACAAACAGGCGGTTTTTGTAAACGCCTTCAGCAAGAGGTGGACTTATTCCCTGGCATATGTATTTCCGCCTCCAGCACTAATCCCCCGAGTCCTCCATTACCTGAACTCAGCGAAGGGAAGATACATTCTGATCACCCCCAATTGGGACAAGGTGTTTTGGAAACCGGATCTAATATCTCGGGTGATAGAGCCGCCTTTCAAGCTACCGGATCTGAACCTCCACTTGACAGATGCGTTGACCGGGCAGCCATTGAGCCAGGCTCGAGATCTTCGTTTGGTGGCATGGTTGGTACAGGGTGGGCTGCACTCGTACGAGGATGGTGTGAAGAAGATGTTCAGCTGTTAGAAACTTCTTGGCGTGGTTCCACTTGGAAGACATACCGTTCTTCGTGGCTTGAATGGCTGAGATGGGCTAAGAGTAGGGAGATGTCACCTACCAATCCAGAGCCCTCAGGGGTAGCACAATATTTGGCGTATCTTTTTCGTGTTAGAAAGCTGTCTCCCGCCACTGTGAAGTTACACAAGTCCGTGATATCGTCGCTGGCCAATCCCCAGTTAGGAAGTCATCTCACGTCTCATCCTGTAGTCAAGCACATACTAAAGGCAATAGACATCAGTAAACCTATCCCTGGAAAGAAGTTCGTGTGGGATGTGTCCGATTTGATATCTTGGATGAAAGCCGATCAAGTGGACGAGGCTAGCTTATTCCAAGTCTCTCGACGGTTAGCATTGATCCTGCTATTGGCCTCTAGACGAAGAGTGCATGACTTGACTCTATTAAGGATGAATCCTGATAGGTTATTAATGGAAAGCAAGTGTGTAACGTTTTGGCCGGAGTTTGGATCCAAAACAGATAAGAGTAATTATAGGCAGTCGGGGTGGAAACTGCTCCAAAACGACGATACGAGCTTGGACCCCGTTTATTGGACGAAACGTTTTTTATCTGTTTCTGTGCATAGAAGGGCAGCAAAATCCCTGGATTCACTCTTTATCACTTGCCGGGCCCAGGTACGGCCTGCTTCAAGAGCTATCATAGCTGGATGGGTAAAGACAGCATTGGTTGGGGCAAATATTTTCACTTCGCCTGGCAGTATCAGAGCTGCGGTAGCATCGTCAAGATGGGAAGGTGAGCTTCCGTTAGACACCATTCTAAAAAACGGCAACTGGAAGGGTCAAGAGACCTTTTTCAAGCACTACTTTAAGGAAGTAAAGCGTGTGTCTTGTCAGAGACCTCTTCATAGTATTTGTAAGGAAACATTTGTTCCTATTTAGCAGAGTACCTGTTATTTTAAATAATGGTTTAGTTCATTTGTTTTTTGTATTCTTATGCTGTTCAATAAATGTTTGAGTTGTGTTAGAGCTGTGTTCTTTTACATATGCATACACACACGCGCAGACTTCTTTCTTAAGATGCAAAGTACCTGATAATATTTCTTTTTATGGAATCACAGTACGCTTTTCTACGTCGTCAGATACCAAACACTTCTCACCAGGGTCAAGCCGACGGCACAGACCCTGAAATATAACTCGTTTTTCCCCCGAAGGGTAGAAAACGATTATTTCAGGTCTTGCCTAGGCTTGACCCCAATAAGTCCTTGACGACTATTATGAGGTACTGAGGATCCTTCTGCATCGCGGCATTCGTGGCGTTACAACGGAAGGCAAACGCTGGGCCGCGACTGCGCAGAAGGGCTAGCCGACGTAGAATAGGAGTAGAGGGAGGGGCACAGGGGCATACATTAGGGTAGGGAATGGGGACGTAATCTCACCAGGGTCAAGCCTAGGCAAGACCTGAAATAATCGTTTCCTACCCTTCGGGGGAAAAACGAGTTATATTAATTGTCAGTGTTTCTACGAAAACTATGTGTATTTACAACCAGAATAGAATGGATGTGTGATTGCCAAAAGCAAGGACGGCGTACAGGGCCGCATTCAGGGCTACCTCCGAATGATGGACTACCATCAACGTGTTGTAAAACAAAGATGACAGTATTTAACGAAATTATCTAATATAGTGAAGTAGTTATAATTAAGGGTGTCGCAAAATCAAATTTTTATTCTTGAAGGGGTGCTAAGTTTTTCTACAGATTTTTCAAACTAGACAACATGGAGAAATACATACCAGAGGTAACCAGCTGCTCACTACGCATAATGAATCCGTAGTCAACGAGGGGTAGAGATGACACTAT